TTGTAAGACTGAGGTTCTCAAAAAGAACGAATAGCAGACAAAAACCAAGCTGTCTCAAAAAGATGACGGTGTTTACGTGCAGTTCGACCATTTTGGACAGGTGTATCAGTACAGGAAGTTTGGTGAATGGTACCCAAATTGGCCAAATATTCGCAGAACTTAGTTTTAAAGTATTCCCCGTCCAAGTCGGACCGCAACAATTTAATAGTAGGCCTAAACTGTGTAGTAATCATAGACTGAAAAGTACGGTATATTTGGTAGAAGTCAGACTTAGGAGTCATAAGATAACTTAAGTGTAACGGGTGTAGTCATCAACAAATGAAACATAGTATGCAGAAACCCTTTTAGTGAGAACAGGAGAAGGGCCTCAAAATTAGTATGGACTAAAGAAAATGGTGTATCAGATATAGAAGTACTTTTATGAAAAGGTAAGGCTGTCATTTTGGCAAGGTTTCACCCTTGACACTCAGTAAGTTCACTAGGAGAAACTTTATCTAATATACCTGACTGAGTCAAATATTGCAAGCGGTCAGCAGACAAATGTCCTAATCTAGAATGTCACAAGTAGAAAGGATTGGATAGAGAATTTAATTGAAAAGAGGAAAAGGTAGTTGGAGAAGTTGTCATACGCAAATGCAAGCTCTCCATCCCATAGAGGTCTCCAATTCTACGGTCGGTCCCAATCTGTTGCTTGGACATTCGATCCTGCACAGAGCAAATAAAAGAAGAAAAGATAACATCAAAAGTGGAGGCATCAAGCTGACTGATAGATAATTGAGAAACATAAAGGACAGATGAAATAGAGATAGCAAACATAGAAGACGGTAGAACAGACCTAACATATATTACAGACATACTAGACCCATTAGTAGCGTTAACAGTAATAGGAAAGGGAGGGGGAATACAATTTTGAAGTAAGGAGAGATGAAGAGTCATATGATGAGAAGCACCAGAGTCAAAAATCTAGACAGATGAAGAGATACCTGACAAAGATCCAAGCAAACTTGAATGAAGAGAGGAAACAACTGAAGCAGACGTGGAGGGTTGGGAGGTAGACAGTATATACTGAAGTTAACTAATCTGAGCACTCGAGGAATCCAAGTCAGGATTAGGAGTTGGAGCAGATGCAGTGGAACTAACGGAAGGACGAAAAGTACTCAGATGAGGAGCTCGGAACTGGGTTTGAGACTGCTGAGAAGATGTGGTAGGCTTCTTGGGACAGTGATACTTCTAATGGCCTTTCTGATGACAGAAAGCATACTCATCAGAAGCGAGAGACATCATAATAACCAGAAATTTAAGTGGTTTAAGTAGAGTAAATCTAAAATAGAACCAAAAGAACCAAACCAAGAGTCGAAGAGTAATAACCAAAAATTTAAGGGGTTCAAGTGTAATAAACTCAAAATAGACCAAAAACAGCCAAACTAGAGATCCAATGACCCGAAAACCAGGTGCCTCGATGAACCAACTTCACAACCAATCTTCACGAGCAGACATGCAAAGAGAATGAAGAAGAACTAGCCAGAGAACTAGAAGTCGAAGCAGAGAGAGACAAGGCAGCTTGACGTCACGATGACCTAACCTCGCGAGTCGAGAGATGACGACGACCCAACTTCGCCAGTCCAGCGACAGCCTGATGTTGCGATTTTGAAACCAGAGAGATCGGGACTCAGAGCATTGAGAGAAATCATGAACAACCATCTAGGGTTTTCGCGAATGGGTCGTGAGTCAGAGGAGATGATGAATCAGTAATCAAATGCGATGGAGGAGAAGCCCACGAACAGAGGAGACGAAGCAACCAGATGGGTCTCTCGAACCAACTAAACCAGACGACCTAACCAGATGGGTCGAATGAATGAACTCAGATGGGTCGAACAAGTTAGATGAATAAAAAAACTCAATGAGTCACGATGAATAGAAGCGACGAATAGATGGGATGAACCAATAGGTTGAATCCCGACGAAATCACCACCTAATGCACCAAGACAACAAATAAACACCAAAGAAGGCCTGAGAAGGCTCAGTTGGCACCTATAGATTAGGTTTCAACAACCAAAAACAACCCACAATTGCTGGAGTCACAGATCAGAAAACAAGCCACTATATTACCGAAAAACATTCAAAAATCATAAACTCACATCAATGCCTCCCATTAATTTTGTAAAAATAACCATAATTACCAAGAGAAAATTTCAAACCAGACCAGAGAGTCCTGAAGCACGATGTCTGTACGGACTTGATATCAGCACGCCATCTTTACCTTGCAAAGATCTCACGAGTCTATAGAAGGATTGTTTGAGTAGAATCTTATGCTTTGATACCAAGTTGAAGATTAAAGTGTGTAGAGATTAAGATTTAAGATGAGAGAGAGAGAGAGAGTAGACTATCGGTAGTAATAGGGTTTGATAAAAATTAAATCAACCCTTCACCTCAACACTTCATATATATTTAACTCAAGTCTTACATTATGACTCTAATACCCCTCATTATATAAATAATAACACAACTATTTTAACACACAACAAATAATCCCTTTTATTAATAAATCATCAAATCAATTAACAACTTTCAATGATGTCAAAAATATATTTCAATTAATAATTCAGGTAATTTTATTATTGTATAAGAGAGCAGTTAGGAATTTTATTTTTTTAGTTAATTTTGTTAAATAAAATATTATGGCAAGCGGGTATTTGCAATTTTCCAAACTATAGGGGCAATCCATATTTTAAGCAAACCTTAGGGGGGTGTATTTGTAATTTGTCCAAAAATGTACAAGGACAAGTGTATTGTCACAGTTTTGTGAAGGGTAATTCTATTTACACACCACCAAACCTCTCAATACACACCATTTCTATAATTTTTTAAATTTCAATTTTGATCTTTAATAAAATTACCTTTTTGTATAAACCACTCCACCATTATCTCGAGCCACACTATCACAGCCACTAGCCTTCGCCACCTCCGTTGGCTGCTGCCATCACCAGAAGCCACCACCGCCACACCATTGCGACCCACCACCAATCGTAAACCTCACTCCTGCAGTCCCTTTCTTTCCATAGCACACCACGGAGAGAGAGAGAGAGATTTGGGTTTTTCCAAGCAATGCTACCCTCTTCTAGCAAGCAACGCTAGCTACGATAGTCATGGGCAGCGCAGTAGCAGCGGCGGCGGCGGCGATGGTGATCGCGATTTTTGGTGTGGCGGACGGCTTCGATTTCTAGTAGTGGCGATGGTAGGGTGGCAGCGGTGGCTATTTCTGGTGATGGCGATGGTAGGGCGGTGGTGGCGTCGATTTTTGGTAATGGCAGACGTTGGTGGTAGTTTGTGATGGTGGTATTTGAAGAGAAGAAGAAAAAAGTGGGGGCTGAGAGTGGAAAGGGAGGAGAATGGCTGGGAGGGGAATTGCAGCGGTGGCGATTTCTGGTGACGGCGGCGGTTGATGGCGTGATAGCGACAGTGGTGGGTGAAGTTACGGTTAGGGTTAGGGTTGGAATTGGGAAAGATATGGATATTTTAGGAATATTTGAAAATAAATCGTGTGCATTGATTAACGTTGGCTAGCGTTGTAAATAGAGATATGGATCTACTTAATTTGACTAACGAAATGACCTTTGATAAAGCCACGTGGAGGAGGAGGATTCATGTAGCCAACCCCATTTGATGGGACTTAAGGCTTGGCTTGATTTGGTTTGGTTTGGTTTAGATTGTGTGCAATGAGTAAAAAACATAAAATTAAAATTGTGTAGTGTGCACTTAGTAAGTGGTGTGTAAATAGAATCACTCTTTTGTGAAACTTCAAATCTATCATAGAGTATGGTTGGATCTCTGCTGATATTGATTTTCTAAAGTTCCATTTATTGTTTTTAGCTTATCCTAGTGTTTTGTTTGTTTTATTCAATAAAACTTTTCTCTTTTCTTTTCTTTCTTTCTCTCTCTTTTTTTTTTTTTTTTTTTTTTTTTTTTTTTTTTTTTTTTTTTCTTTCTCTTTTTCTTTTTTTTTTTTTTTTTTGTGTGTGCGCCTTCCTTCGGTTGCAGTTGCTTACTAGGTCTCAGTTTCTATGCGATATGTGAATATACAAAACTGCATAAAGAAAACAACCTAAGAGGGCATGTTTAAAATTTCATTTGATTGATGATTATGGTTCATAGAGGACTTATGATATGCTTCAAGCAATCTCTGCTTCTTTTTTGGCTTTCACTGTTATGCAATATTGCTATGGCCAGCGAACTGAGTGTCAATAAGAGCAATCTATACCTTGCTACAAATGCCCTTTTAAGTCAATTCAAGACTCACGAAAATGTTGAATTTATGTGATTGGAGGTCATTTGACTGACACCAAACCTTTTATACAAGGTAAAGCTTGCTGATGACATGTTCCACTGTGTCTGATCGTTGAGTGAGAAGTGGTAGTGTTGTAGCCCATGTTAGATCACCAATTATCTCAAAAGCTTAAGCTGTCACACAATCGGTCCAACAATGTGTATCCAGCTATCAAAAACCCTTCCTTACGTGCAACCCCATCTTGAGCATTGAGGTGCAAATAGACATACATAGAGAGAAGCATAATGCAAATAAGGAACGAATGCAAACGGAGAGAAGGATCTCTACCTTTTCAATTGAATAATAGGCAGATAGCATGAGTTGGTTAATGTTTCAAGTACATATAATCAATCATTAGCTCATGAAGATGCCCAGCACCTAGTTCTCTGCAGTTTCAAAATTTTTGTGAAGTTCCCCTTGTTAATTCACATGTTAGTTTTTTTTTTTTTCCCTCCTTCAAATTCATAGAGAATCAACCCCACTGTAATAAATATGTGAACTCGATCGTGCTGCCAGATTTCAAAGCCATATCTGTGTCCAAATTTTTAGTAATTCCAAGTCTTATTAGATTCAAGAGGATTCAAGGGAAAGATCAGTTATAACTTATATATTGTTATATAAGGCTGTTTTTAATGTTTTCTCATGCTGTAATTTCTTCCTAGCATTGAATTTGTTTGAACTTTGAATGCACCAGATATGAATGAGACCAGCACACGAAATGAAGTTGTTGAATCTGCTCAAACTGAGGCTAAACTGAAGGATGACCCCAAACAACACCGAGGTTCTCTAGAAACCACGGCAAAAACTAACATTGGTGATTGCAAAGGTGTGGCAAATGTCTCACAGGATGCAGTTCAGGCAGACATAAATGCTTCTGGTGAGGTAAACATGGAGGCTTCCATATCATCTGATGACGTTATACGGGCTGGTGGATTTGGAGCTAGAGATGACATTGGTAGTTTTCTTCCAGTTGCAAGTGACTCCACTGACTTTGAAGCTTCTCTTCGTGATGCTCGAGACTATGAGGATCCACAGGAAGAAATATGCAGACCAGGTCTTGGATTTACAAAAGCTACAAAGTAAGATTAATTTTGTTTTTAATGCCCCATGGAGTTCTTGTGATTCACTCTTGTAGCTGTAGCATGTGCTGGCTTCTCAGATTCTGTGTCATGTTAATAATGTGTGGTTCAGATTTATTTCAATTTGAAAAATTTCGTCTCTCTGTTAGCAGTTATTTGGTATCTTAATGGAAGAGATGGTATCACTGTTTTCAAATTTACTGTAGCTATTTGGATCGGGCATCGCAATATTAAGACATATTTTAAGGCCTTCCTATTGCAGGCCCTTTGTACAACTTTGTATTGTGATGAGATGACTGAAATTTATCTGAGATCTGAAGAAAAATGTCAAAAAATAACATAACAGTCTTATTACTTGCTGTTGTCAGGAAACCCATGGAAGCACCAAAATTGTGACTTCAATTTGTCCCCCTTTTTTTTTTCAAGGACAAAAGTATGCACAGTTTCAAGCATTATGGCTTTTGCTTTATGCCTTGAGGGCTCTTTGTGGTCTGCGAGGCTTACTACATTGTCATGAAAAGGCTATTGCTTTTCGGAAGATTTGCTGGCCAGGAGCTAAGATTGCTGAAGGGTCGTAGGTGGATTTCCTCCTAACAAAAACATTCCACTGAGGGCCGAAGTGAGTTCGCCACGCCTCGTAAGTGCTGTAATGGGGAAGATACTGTTTCATCCCAAGACGAGCTGTTTCGCAGAAGTCTAGGATTCTTTTGTTTTGGCTTAAAATGTGTGCTAAGCCATCTGTTCCTGTCGAATATGGCATTGCGGAGGTTAGGAAAGCCACTAGGTAGAAAACATCTTCCTCTGGGGTAACCATAGATGTTTTGTTGTTCCACCTGCAATATAGAAACGAGCCGAGTCAAGTTTAAGAGCCCTAAACATTTCAATTATTAAAAGAGATTTGATTTTGTTAACGAATTAGTACTTGGATTTGTTGGCTGGATAAATGAGTATAGGACCATTGCTGGTCTCTTTAAGAATGTTCCCAAATACTTCTTCAGCGAAGTAGTGAATTCTGCTTTTTGGAATGAGAAGATTTAGCCATGGATGGGGGATATCCCACAATCCTGTTGCCCGTAGTTTCAACTCTGATATGTGCACTCTATCCAGGAATTCTACGTAAGAGACTTCTGAAAGGAAGAGTGTGGACTGAATATAACTCAATTCTGATAGCAATCTATCGATTTTCTGCATTAGTAAACAGAGGTTGACGATGAGGACTGTTTTAGTTGAATTCTGCAAGGTAGGATAAGAAGTTTTAACTAGTCTCACCTGGTTCACTGTATTAGTTTCATCTGGATTGAAGTATTTGGCTATTTCTAGGCAGAAGAGAGTTTTCCCATCTGAGTTGAACTGACTTGCTTGAATAGGGTCTTTGGGATTGAAGGAGGATCTCCAGTTATTAAGGAGACCTGTTCTGTTTATTATGACGAATCCTTCTATGTAATCAAAAGAATCCTCTGATGATATTAGATGCTCTTGGTCCTTTGTGAAAACGGAAAAATCCGAATAAAGCACTCTAATCCATTTTACCTGCGAAAAAAGGTAGATTAACGATAGAGATTAGTATTTCTTGTGATAAAATCTTTTTTTGTATATTACTGGTGGGAAGAAGATACGTAGTTTTACCATCCTGGGTGCTGGTTCAAGAGCAATTCTTGCCCGGGTGATGATACCGAACTGTCCTAGTCCTCCAAGAACACCATAAAAGAGGTCAGTGTTCTCTTTCTCTGAACAGATAATCACCTCTCCCCTTCCTGCACTCAGTTAAAGAAGTTTCAGTTATAAATATACATTATTGAATTTTATGATTTAGTTCACAACATAACTGGGCATAGAGCTGTATAATCATCATTTTGCAGAAAATCGGGTAAATCACATTCCCGCCTTTCTGTGAAATGATGTCACTTGCATACATGCACTGCTATATATGATGCGTTATGAATTTAAACCAAACTAATGCATAATAAAAATGATTTGCGCAAACATACCTGTGACAACCTCGAGCTGATGAACATTATCTATCTGGGGTCCATGCCGGAATGCCTGTCCACTGATTCCAGCATTAGATAAAGTTCCCCCAACAGTGAGATAAAGATAATCCGTCCAAGATTTTGGTGCAATCCCATGTTTGAGACTCTCATGTAGGATATTTATCCATAACTCCCCAGCTGAAACATCCACATAAGGGAACTCCCCAGTGTGGAAATGCATTTCTTCTTGCTGTCGTAGTGATTCCATGTTGATAACCACACCTTGATAGGCTTGTGCTTGACCTTCAAGGGAATGACCATGGCCTCTAGCGGCGACTGTCAGCTCTGACGTGGTGCCCATTTCGAAAATATGCTTTATGGTAGAGGAAATATCAGAAACCGATTTAGGATGTAGAACCGCTGATGGTAGGTTATGGTATATATTGCCAAAGTCATTGGCTGCTTGGTCAATGTTCTCGGAGCTTAGATACCCGTCATATCTTAGTGTTTTCAGTGAAGAAGGGATAGCTGAGGAACCTGAATGAGGAGAAACTGTTGAGGAGACAAAAGGCTGGTTACAACAAAGGTTGTTTCTGTTTATAATGTTGCTCAAGAACATGACTATGAGAAACTTGAGGACAGTATAGGTGTTTTTCCCGAGTGTACCATAAGTTGGTAACACCATTTTGCTGCTAGATAATATGTTGAGAGAGAGAGAGAGAGAGAGAGAGTTCCTATTTGAATAGAGGTAAGAGGAGAGGAGTTTTTAGAATGGCCCAGGAAATGAAGGATGGAAGGAGAATTTAAAGGGAAGGTTGTGATCCATTCAGCACAGTCAAACATATACCAGTGGTGAAACTAGTATGAAGACTGTTTATTGTTTGAATATATTTGGGAATAATTCTTTCTCCCTTTTGTGCTCCAAAGGAAGTCATAAAATATAGAAAGATTCCACTTACCTTGGTACTTTTTTTCCACACAGTTACAATCACATTACTATTTGTTCTCAATCCTCCTTGTGGCCTTTTATTTTTGCTAATTTTAGCAGATGTATCAATGTACTAGGATGTGCTACAATTTTGCCTTAGTTTTTATTCAAGATAAATTTTGTATTCATGCAATAGTATATCATATTTAGTAGATGGGAAACTTATCTGCACGGAAAAGTGTAAAGAAAAATTAATGTGTGGTCTAGATTTTTTTCTGTGTTTTGGTATATAATTAGTCAATAGTCTTTCTTCATCGAGAGTGATTAAGAAAAATTAATGTGTGGTTTAGATTTTTTCTGTGTTTTGATATATAACTAGTCAATAGTCTTTCTTCACCGAGAGTGATAAAGAAAAATTAATGTGTGGTCTAGATTTTTTTTCTGTGTTTCGGTATATAACTAATCAATAGTCTTTCTTCACCGAGAGTGATCGATGGGGCGGCCCCTACCGACTTGCAACCAAGTTTCTATTTTTTGTCTTGGGTACTTGATGTTCTTGCTATTTTAAGGCAATTAGGTACGTTTATAATCGACTAAAGAAACAATTTCTTCACACATGACTGCAAATTTGGTACAAATGAGTTATGGTTGATGGGGAGGCCCCTACCAGAGTGTAATGCTGTTAGAGCAAGTCTGCCAAATGAAAATGGAGTCAGATTTTGTACTAGACAGTTCATCCTCAGAGAGTATGTCTTGGTTTGATGACTAAGAAAATGATACATCAATATTTACCCCCCTTTCTTTTTACCTCCTACGTACGAACCATATGTATAAATATAGGACCTATCATATCTAGAAAATAATAAGATCCACTGTTATTTTACAAAGGATCATGCTAATGATAACCTACAGTCTGTCTTTAAGGGGGAGATAATACCAAAATAGTTAGAATACTAAGCACTTTTTACATATTTTTATACACATTTAGCATGTATATCAAGACTAATACTAAATAGTTAGAATACTAAGCACTTTTTACATATACTTATACACATTTAGCACATATATCAAGACTAATACTAATCACTGGGTGATCATCAGCATATATTTTTGTGAATATAGTGTGTACATGGTGTTTGTTGTGAGAGGCAAAAAAAAAAAAAAAAAAAAATAAAATTTATCCAGTGATAAATCGAATCTGGGTTGAGGTAACCTGCGCAGCATATTATAGGAAAGATTAGTGTATGTAATAAGCAAGGAAGCTTGGAACTTCCATGCATCTTCTGGTGACTTTAAGTATTATGATTTTTTGACAGTATCTTCTGTTGGCAATGGTATTGGGGTCTGTAGGGGCCTGGGAGGGTTAGGTTCTGTGTGGGAAAGAGGCTCAGAGGAAGGATAGGGAAGTGGACATAGAGATGACAGTTTGAATGGGGGAAACACTAAAAAAAAAAAAGTCTAACCTATCAACTAGATTGCCTTTGGAGTCTTAGATCCCAGCACTGGGACAACCCTAAATGATGCTCTCTCTCTCTCTCTCTCTCTCTTTGTGTGTAATATTTTTTAATATGAGATAACTTTTTTGTGCCAAACAACCTACTATTGTGGAAATCATTACCCCATTTGCTTTTGTTTTTCGAGCACTTGATGAGCACCCATTTGAAATCAGCAGCTAATTTTGAAAATTACATCATTAAAATTGTTTTTTTACTAATTACTTTAATGCTTCATATGTTGATTTTTCATCTCAACTATTTATTTAGTGTCCGTCCCAATTATTGGTGTTGGCTAATAGTTTCTCTTTCCTTTCTTTCTTTTATATATTATTATTATTATTATTATTTTTTTACCCATGCAATCATTTCCTAAAAGTCACAGCTTCACAGCCGAAAAACTTATATGCTAATTACTTTGCAAGTGTACAAAACTCCCACTCACAATAGAGAGAGTTTAGAAGAGGTAAATAGGTAATATGCATATAGTGTTTTATCTTTATTACACTTAATTTGCTGGTATCATGTTTTTTTTTTTTAGGTACATCGGAAGATAAAGGTATCATGTTTCGTATCATTTTTTTTGAACTAAGAAATGAAGATCGACACATTAAATAAAAATAAAAAAAACCAATCAAGAGCACGAGATTATGAATGGCTATGAAAAATACAAATAAATAAATATGTCAAATCTGGTTCAAAGCATGACAAAATGGACTAAGTTGAACTCTTATGTATGAGGCAAAATAAATAATAACTATATATCTTGTCTAGATGTCCCAAATGAGATGTAAAGTAATGGCTCATAATATATATATTAAATCTTGCTACAATTGTCTTCCCAAAGCTCTTAATGAGACACATAACCCAACCTTTTTCTGGGATCCAAAAGAGAGCTACATAATAAAATGGATGTTGGGATTGTTGTTTGGTTGCCGGCTCCTGATGGCAGTGATGGTGGTGGGTTGGTGGCTCTGTTTGTGAGTGAGGAAGGAGATGAAAGGGGAGAATAAAATTTCTATTTTGCCCTTGAAAATCAATCACATGACATGCTAATATTCCGTCTAATGTTTCTTAACCTCTATTTTTAGTTGGACCAAAATGGCACAATTCAAAATCTAGGGTTAAAATCAAGTCAATTAAAACTACGGAGAGCAAATTACAGGAACTACATGCGTAATTTACCCTTTTTATTTTGTTGTTTTTGAAGTTTGAAAATTCTCATTTCTTTTATAATGTTTTCATTTTTTTTTTCCTACGAAAAAATTTCTTTGCAAATTTAGAAAACAATTTGCAAGCCTTTCTTAGCGATTATAGGATGAACAATATAAAAACTTGATAAGTAGTTCAAGGGCTGAAAACTTAAAGCTTCAAAGCATCTTGTACATATCAACATTGAAGATGAAAGATAAACATATACATATTCGACCCTTTTCGACATGATTGTGTCAGGATTAGGGTATTAAACTAAAAAACATAAGACCCCATATGTTTAGGATTTGTCTCCTAATTTTGTAATGTCTCACATTTGATTCACCAATAAGGGGATTAGTTGTGCGGACAGATTAATACTCCCTCAAAACCATGGGTTAAATTTCTCAGTGCCTTGGCATAATTAATTTCGCACTCGTTGGATTAACTTTCCCCCATCCCAACTCTTACTAAACATGGTACTGTAATTTCATAATATATAAATCTATCCAACATCCCATGGTATGAAAAAAAATCGGGTCCACGGTATTACTTAGACCATTATCCTTTCCCTTAAAGAGTAAACATGACTGTGAACTTGCTAGCACAATGGGAAAAGAAACTTCAAACATGAAAAATGATGAGCATATACAGATTTCTCCATGGCTTTTCTATCTAAATATTAGGAATCTATAAATTCATGAGGCTGCAAAAAACACAAGCTTGATTAGTTTATCCAAGAGAGCAATGTTTTAAAAACCGGACCGGTGAACGAACCAGAAAAAGGATCGGGTGGGCGGGTCGAAGGTTGAACCAGAATTGAACCGTGACGTAATAAATATATTAAAATTACATTTAAATAAAAATATAAGTAATAAAATTATAAATTAAAAATATTAAATTATCTTAAATATTTGTCTTAATATTTTTTTTACTGAAAAATATAATAATATATTTTGAAATATTATTAATTTCAATTTTGGAAGATGAAATCAAATATTTAATATTCCCTCCATATGATTTTAATTCAAATAATTTGATTGAAAGGAGAGCAAAAATTTTGGAGGGATATCAAAATTTTAATATTCCCTCCAATACATTTGATTGAATCCCACATGGATTTCTTGAGTCTTTTTGAAAGAATTTTTTTTTATAAATAGGTGAAGACTTTCACAATAATTTCATCAAAACTCTTAATGGGATTCCTCACAAGAGGAGACCCTTAAAAAAGAGTTTCAAATTAAAATTTTCTTATATTCTTATATTTTATATATATAATATATATATATAAAATAAGAAAGAAAGAAAAGAAAGAAAAAAAAAAGAAAAACTAAAAAAAAAAAGGAGCCGGACCGATTCGATCAACTCGTGACCGGGTCAACCGGTTCACTGGTGGGTTCACCGATTTTCAATAAATAGTCCGGTTTTTGCAATTGGCCGGTTTAAGAGGGCTAACCGGACCGGAACCTCATCTGGTCACCGGTTCAATGAACCGGCCGGTCCGGTCCGGGTTTCAAAACCTTGCAAGGAAGCAGGGAAAATTATAGAGCAAATCCATTTTATCTCCCTGTGGTATGACTTGATATCTTTTAAAAATAGCCATATATCTCTCATGTGATTTTGGATTAAAATGCAACCTTAACACCAATAATATTAACAATAAAAAAAAAAAATACCGTTTATGTCTTATTCTTCTATTTTTTACTCTCTTGTAAATAAATAAATTTACCTCCATGACTAAGCAAAAAAAATTAAAAACATAACACAACTAATCTAAGAAACTAGAGTTTTCTTTTTTTTTTTTTATAATAAACTTAATTTTTAATTTTAATTAATTTATGATTTAATTTGTTAAATATATATGTATATGCTTAATTTAAAATGTTATTAAATAATAAATTGTGTTAAAAATTAAAAATTAGAGTATTTTTATGATTTAATTTGATGGTAATAAATTAAATTATTGAAGTTAATTTATGATTTAATTTGTTACATATATGTATTATGTATATGTTTAATTTAAAATGTTATTACATAAGGTAATTTCATGGTAATAAATTAAGTTATTAAATTAAACATGATGATTAATTTTTCTAATAATAAATTAAGGTATTTAGGTTAATTAAATTTTATATATATATATATATATAATATGTATGTTTTAATTTAAAATGTTATTAAATAAGAAATTTAGACTAAAAAAGGTAAAATAAGGCTAGTTTCGTCTTCATACATCAAAATTTAACTTTGACTATTTTTTTTTTTCTTTTCCTTTTCCACTCTCAAAATAAGCATGTGAGACACATTCTCCGTTAGTTTGGATGGAAAACGTAATTGTAACATTTTAGTCCAAAACCACATGAGTGGTATGTAACTATTTTTAAAAGGGAGATAAACTGTTATTGGATCATACTATAAAGGGTAAAATGAATTTTGCCCAAAATTATATTAACATTTCTATTACTTTGCGATAATATATATATATATATATATTA